CTAGATGAGAGAATACTGAGGGGCTGAGTACGCTCTAAATAACTTCTCTGGGGTCGCACAGCAGCCAAAGCCATCTGGCAGAAGCAGCCCTGATCTGTCTGACTTCGGACGCTGTGACCTTAACCCAAGGTCTTACAGTAAGCGGGAGACGGAGCCACAATTAGAACCCAGGCTCTGGTCTCTACAACACACTGGGTGCTGGAGGGCTTCAGAGAAGTCAGCCCTCGCTGCATGGGCAGATCCCAGTGCACCAGGCTCTCAGACACGTCACGGGAGAAAGAGATCTTAGTGCCTCTTGCCCCAGTCATCTCGGGTTGACACGAGCCAGTGAACTTGAGGGAGAGGGTAAAAGAGCATCGCCTTTTCACCCCGTTTCACCCAGGGACCACACCCGAGGAGACGCCTTGATTCCATATGCTGAGGTGGGGCACACCACTTTCCCCATCCTTCCAGGTGCCACCCCTCAGAGACACCGATGTTCACATCTGCTCCCCACCCAACCTGGAGCCCATCACGCAGCACGTCCATCAGTTCAGTTCAACCAATCAAGAGCCTCAGACCTGCACCACATGTTCCTACCCCTTTAGACCAGCCCTGCCTTTCTCCTTCAGACCAGCCTCCTCACTGGGCTCCTTGCCCCGACCTTTGCCAAAGAAGACCTGGTGTGTCTCCCTTCAGAAGCTGTGGACCTCACCATGACCTTCTGCCCTCCAACGCCCAGGTCCTCTTCTCCAGGAACCTCCCTGGCCAACCCTCTCTGAGCCCCACCACCCTGGCTGTCTCTCTGCCAGAGGGAAGGCCCAACTGGCAGGATCTAAGAATTCTTCTTCCTGGCACATCTCCAATGTGAAGCAGCATCGTGGTGACTGCGCTCAAGCTCGCAGACACGGCACTTAGGCTCAGAAAGGGATGGTGACTCACCCAAGGACAGTGAGTCAAAGGCAGAGCCAAGTTGAGTATGCAGACCACCTGCCTCCCAGATTGGGCTCAGTCCTACCTACTCCAGGCTGGGTTTGTCTGTCTCCCACTGGACCCAGGACAGAGTCCCAAGCCAGGAGGGAGGGCTGAGGCCGTTCCCAGGCCGGAATTTCCAGGGTTGTTGAACCACATTCCAGCTACTCCGCTAGGGTGGCCCTGGAATGTTCCTGCCCACCCACCCACCTGGTTGGCCCTGTCCAGCCTGGCAGAGAAATCATTCTGCTACCACTCTGAAAACCCTGCCGCTGGGCCCTGCCAGGGGTGGGTGCTGCAGGGAAGGATACGGAACCTGGCTCAGAACCCCACCAAGTGGGCAGGCAGAGTATTCTCTTGGGGCCTTTCAGGAAAAGTCTTAGCTGGCTGAGTGTTGGGGAGGTGGGGGGGTGTACAGACCCCGGTTCAAATCCCAGTTCTGTCATTCTCAACAGTGGGACCCAGATACGTCTCTTCACTCTCAAACCCAAGCCTCAGTTTCTTCTTGAGATAAGAACAGTGCTTGAAGGGATCCGGATGCAACAGTGAAGCACTAGGCTGCCATCGGAGAGGGCAGAGGTTCAGCCTCACCCCAACGCTCTGCAGCAGAAAGGCCTGGCAGTCCGCCCCTGTAAAGATGATGGCTGAGAGAAGCCTGGGGGCACGTCTACTGTGTGATCCTCACACTGGGGAAGCTAAGAGTCTAAATCAGCTCAAGGGCACCTAACAACCACAGCTTAAATGGTTCCACTCACTTTACGAGACAATTAAAGGATGTAAGATGTCGGCAGGTGAAGAAGGCATTGAAGAGGGGATAGGTGTCCCAGGAAGGCAAGAAATGCGGGATAAACCCACAGGAATTACAGAAAGAGGCTGCAGGGCATAGCCAGAGTGACCATAAATCCGGTCTCTCACACTGAAGGTCATGCTCAGAGGGGAGGGCAGTCCAAGGACCAGAGCCCCATCCCACTTCCTCTCTCCCTCCCTCTTCCCAGACGAGAGGCTGCTGTACCTATGCCTATTCCAGTGCAGGCCACTTGGCCACTCTGAGGTGGAAGAGAGCCTTCCCTGCTTGCAGGAGCTCCTTGTCAAGGTAGGAAGGGGGAGTTAGGTCCCCAGACAGGCAAAGACAGCTCAGAAGAGGGAGGCAGAGGCAGCAGGGCTGAAGGGCCATTCGGAATGGAGGGGTGGTCAGTGAAGCTTTCTGGAGGAGAGGACGCTGGAGCCACACTTTGGAAGATGAGGAGGAGTCGGGTGGGTGGGTGAGCAGAGAAGCAGAATAAGCAATGTCTGGGGCAAGAGATCACAGTTTCATGACAGATCCGTCATTCCTGTGGCCTCGGGAGTGGAGAGGGTAAGGCTGGATTGGAGGACACCAAGGGTTTAGAAGTTATCCCTGGCTCTTCCCATGTCCTCCAAAGGACTGGAGGCACGTAGGCCCCCATCTTGCCTGCTGTGCTCTCTGGACTATAGTCGCTGGGTTGGGCTGGGGAAACAGTTGTTTGGTGGCAGGGTGGTAACCTCAGATGCTATCAGTAGGTGAGAGGCCTCTGCAGCCTCCTGGAGGCCCTATCTAGGGCTCTGTAGCCCCTTCTCCAAGGCTCCCTCCCTCTCAGGAGCCCCTGCTGGGCTCCCTGCTGGGTTGAGTGCAGGGCGTCTGGGCAGGTGGGCCTCAGATCAGAGACGCTGGGGCTCCCATTATGAGGTCTGGGCCAGTCCCCAGAGCAAGACTCCAAACTCCCTCTCCCACCTCCAACACGACATAGTTCAGCTTAACCCAACACAGGGTGATATAGAGACGACTGCTGAACTGTATTGGTTCAGGACCACAACCCCTTTCCTACCACCCCTATCACCCCAACCTACCACCTCTAAATACCTCCAGCCAGCCTCAGAGGCACTCTGGGCTCAGCTTCTAACTCGGAACCACTCAGGCTGTGCAATCTTGGGTTAAGTCATTTCCCTCTCTGAATCTCACTCAGACCCCCAACTGGTGAAATGAGAGCGTTCTCGCTACATGGGGCAGTTCCTAAGGAATCCGTGATAGACAAGGTGCCAGACAGGGGATCATGATGCTAAGTCACCATGCACTGCCCTAAGGTGGGGCTGCGTCTGGTCTGCCGTAGGGAGCCAGGGGAACGCAGGAGCTCCTTCAGCAGGGGGTCCTCCCGAGGGTCCCGAGCAAGCAGGCAGAGCTCACTGTCAGAGCAGGCCAGGAGAGGCTCCTGAGGAAGAACAGAGCTCAGGCTTGGGGAGAAGCAGGAAGGACCCAGCTTGGAAGGAAAGGGTGAGAAGGAAGTCAAGGTGGAAAATGGGTGCGAAGAGTGATTCTGATACTGTGTCACTCCGAGCCCTGGTCGAGCTTTCTGAGTCCAGTTGTCAGCGGGTGTAATTCCAGGAGGGGAGGGTTTTGAGAGTCCCAGAACCACAGGAGTCTGGGCTGAGTGAGATCATCATAAATTCCATTTCGGGGAGCCACATGGTCTCTGCAAATATCAGGGACCCTACAAACATAGACTGGGATCAGGCTCTGTAGGGCCTTTAAGGGCTTCTAGGCTGGATGGAGAGAAAGATACACATAGACCAAGGATCCCTGGGCAATAAAGCATTGGCCAAGGGAAGCCCATTGACTGTGCAGCCCAGAGAAAACCCGACAGATGCAGAGGAAGAAGTCAAGGAGGGCTTCCCGGAGGAAGAGCCATTTGAGCTGGGTCTTGATGGGGTCAGATGATTAGAAGTCTGTCCGATGGACAAAAGGGTAGAATGGCATGAAGACGGTCTGAGGGGCATGTGCAAAGAACCAGTGTGTGTGACTGTGGTCTGGTGAGGAGAAAGCCAGGGTGGCATCTGTGGCTGATATGGAGGGGACCATGGATTGAATTGTGTTCTCCCAAAACATTTGTCAACTTAGCTAGGTCACGATTTGAAATAGTCGGTCATTACCTTCCATTTTGTGATGTGATCACCAGTGTTGTAAGTCCTAACCTCTCTATGTTAATGGCACCACCTGTCTGTCAGTTTGCCAGGCTGTGGCATGTGCATGTTGTGGTCATGTTGGAAGCTATGTGGTCGCTATTTCAAATGGGGTCACCCAAGGTGAACAATTTTCAGAAGCGCTTTCCAACAAAGAACAACATGCAAAGAAGGAATAGAGGGTGCACTTCTGACACGGAAAACCTTATAAATAGCAGCGAAACACTGTGAGATCCGGAAAGCCTCATGACGAGCAGCAGAACCACGTCAGGTAGCGTGACAGAAGATGAGCCCCTCAGGGGAAGGCATTCAAAATGCGACCGAGAGCGAGCTGCCTCCTCAAAGTAGAGGGGGCCATCATGGCATGGATGGAGTAAAGCCTTTGGAACCTTTGTTTGCTGAGGGGGCACAAGTGAACATGAGGAGACACAACTGCAAATATCTATTAATGATTGGAACTTGGAATGTACGAAGTACGAATCTAGGAAAATTGGAAGTCATGGAAAATGAAATCGACTATATGAAGATCAATATCCTAGGCATTATTCATGAGCTGCAGTGGACTGGTATTGACCTTTCTGAATC